GGCGGGAGAGCATGGCGCTCAAGGCCTGGTGGCGCGGGGGTGGTGCAGTTGGTGTTGTTCTGGGGGGGATCATCATCACCGAAATGCATGACCACCAGGGCGCCCGAGCTGGGCCCGCCAGCGCCTGGCTCGACTGCCTGACCCCGCTGCCGTCTTCGCTGCCGCGCCAGGAGGCGAGCGGCGCCCCCGCCAGCAGACCCCCGCTCGTCCACGCAGCGCCTCGGCCTCGACGGCCCCGCTGCTGCGCACCCCGCGGCACGGCACCCACCTGGGGCAACTGCGGTCCGTCGGGCGCGGCCTGTCCTGCGTCCCCATCCAGCAGCGCTCGCGGCCCCGGCCGCAGCAAATCCTCAAGGCCCGCCACTGCGGCCGCCCTGCGGTGGGTGCCACGGGGTGCAACGCATGTTTGTGGGCCTCTGCCGGCCCCTGGGCAGCAAAGCAAGCCGGGCCGCCCTTGGTTCGCATCGTAGCTGTGACTTCCAACACATGCCATCCGAAAGGGGGGTCCTAGGGCGGCGTTCACGGCATTTGAGCGCAGACGCCGACCGACGCACAAGCAATCGAAAGGCTGCCTGTTGATGGATGCCTGAGAGCGCACCTTTCCTCCTGCTGCCGCTGATCGCATTGCTCCCGCTTGTCCCAGCTGCAAATCTCCGCCGCCAGCCGCGCCGCGCGCTCCTCAGCCTCTTCCGCCTGGGCGCCTGCTGGGGAGCAGGGGGGGGGGGGTGCGCACATGCAGCGACGTCGTGTGCGCCCCGCTGGCCCGGCGCCCCGCGGCGCCCCATGAGCATATGCTTGTCGCGCCCAGCGCATTAGCCACTGCCAGGGCCACCTCTTAAGGCTGAGTAAAAAAAGTCGAGGCGAGGCTGGGCTCACCTCCTTCCATCGGCCCCTGTGGTACCCTGTGACCCAGGGGCCTCTATGTCTGTATGTGGAGCTTCAACTTGTCCTGCAACGGGAAGCCCTCTGCGCATCAAGGGTGATGATCTACGTGGGGTGAGCTCTCCGATGTCAGCGCAGCTGCTTGTATGGAACAGCGCGTTGATGAAATACATCTAGCTCATTCATCTGCAATTGTATCTTGGTGATGTAGCGTAGCCTAGCGCAGCAGCAGGTGCGCCGATCAGCGTCGCCAGCAGGTCGCCAGGTCGGGTCCCGACCTTCAGCTGAGCCCGGGTGGCAGGTGGCGCGTGCATTGCGGTCCTGAGCAGCGGTCCTGGGCGCACCAGCGCACTGGGAGAGGGCTGCTTGCACGGCCAACAAGATGTCTGAATCAGGACTATCATAGTACTAGTAGTGACCCGCCGCGTTGCCGGCGGCAATTGCGGCTGAGGAGCGCCTACTATGTGCCTGTCTTGAGTGAACTGTTACAGTAGCGCAGGTGCTGTATTAACACATTTATTTGCAGTGCAGCTGTGCATCAAAGGAGTACCTCCCGATAAACAACATTCCGGGTATAAGCGCCAACAGGGGCGCGGCCCAGCATACGCTCGCGCTGCGGGGTTGGCACCACCAACATCTTGACACCTTCCATGCGGCCAACACGCGACAGCGCAACGTGATGATGATGATTTGTTACCGCGTCTGCAGCTGCAAGACTCATCGGGAAACGGCCGCCGCGACGGCCCCATGG